AGTATGGTGTCCCTATTGACAAAACAAGTAGACAAAGAACTCTGTGTGTTCATCAGTGAGTGTAAGCATTATTTCCTTGAGTAGACAAACACAAGTCTCCTCTTGCAGCCTCCGGTCTCTAGCCAGGAAGTACTTTTAGCTGCATTACTCTAGGCAAGTTACTTAAACTCTCTGCTTCAATTTTTCATTTGTAATAATCAAATAAAATGTAATATATACTATACAGAGCATCTAGCATAGCTTGGCACTCAATGATCTAGAAAGCTCGACTGTAATAATATTATTATTATTATTAAGATAATAATAGTGATTCTCTTATATGGTTGCTCTAAGTATTAAATCAGTTAATGCACATGAAGTGCTTAGAACATGACCACAAATACAAGAAGCCCTAATTAAATGTTTGCTGTGATTGTAAATAGTGTGAACAAATATGTTTGATAAGGGCTTAAATGAGTCAGGCCTGTTTAAGAGCCCAGCTCCCCTAGCAGGGGTTGATTATTCCAATCTAGGTCCTGTCACTGACCTCTAAGCACATCCTCTGTTGCAGATGTTAGAACCGGCATGGGAATGCTTCCTTATTCTCCCTTCTTTCTTAAAAATATATCAGAAACATCCTAAATATCCACTGATGGATGAATGGATAAAGGTGTGGCATATACATACCAAGGACTATTACTCAGCCATAAAAAAGAATGAAACCTTGTCATTTGCAGCATGGATGGACCTTGAGGGCATTATGATAACTGAAATAAGTCAGACACAGACAGATGAATACCATATGATCTCACTCATATGTTGAATCTAAACAACATCAACAGTAGCAAAATAAAAACCACAAAAGCAAAAAATCCAGTGCATGAGAATAGATTAGCAGTTGCCTAGGGTAGGGTGGGGGAGGTGAAATGTGCTAAATTGGTTAAAGGAGTCAAAAGGTACAAATTTCCAGTTATAAAATGAATATATATATATATATATTTGCCGAATATACACCCCAAAATATACCTCTGGCATAATAATTATTTTAAGCTGAAGTCAACTGAGAAGAGCAGATACAAGGAAAGCTCTCCACCTTCCTCCTATTTAGCTAAAAGCATGACATAAATTTATGGAAGGGCTTCCCCTCCCCTCTCTGCCAGGAAGGACAAAAGTCACCTTGTCAGCCCAGAGAAGTCACCAAAGGAATCGACATAATAAAATTGACTACATAGCCTTTGTCTTCCATTAGCTCCACCGTATATTTGTCTTCCACAGTTTGCCACCCTAGAAACTCAAAGTGCTTCTCCTGTGTCTGGTCACTTCTCTGAAAACGTGCGGTCCTTTTGTTGAGATGCTGTAAGAGCCCAAGTTCTAATCACCCCTGTGAGTCACTCATCGCTGGGTGCTCCCAAGCGTATGCAAAATGCCCATGCTAATAAACTTCTGTATCTTTTTCTTTTGTTAATATTTCAGTTATCAGTCAGATTTGCAGGGCCCCAGCCAATCAACCCAAGAGGAGTAGGGGAACAAAGAATTTTCTAAGGAAAAAATGACAAGCCTTCATCCCCAATGTAGAAGAGCTTCCCACACTCAAAGTGGGAAGTTGAACTTTACTAAACATTTTTTTAAAAAATAGATGCCTGATGAAGAGTACACTTATCATGATGAGCACTGAATAATGTAGAGAAGTGTTGAATCACTATACTGTATACCTGAAGCTAATATAACACTGTATGTTAACTATACTGGAATTAAAATTTTTTTAAAAGGTACTGTGAGGCAGTCTAGGCCCAAGAAATGGGGCAGGTCTGGCTGGCTCTTGCCCTGTTCTTAATTTAGTGGTTCCCATTCTTTATACCTGGGCAACGCAGAGCCATTGGCAGAGGGCAGAAGAGAGCCCTGTATATACATCACAGATGAGTAGGTTATGTTTATGTATTTGAGGGATTACTCCAGAGCGTCTCAACTTCTTCAAAATTAGAGATGGGAGAACCTCACAGAAGATCCACCCCAGACCTTCTGCATCAGGACACCAGAGAGTAAGACTAAGCTTTTTTTTTTTTTTTTTCCATTCACAAGTAACTCCCACACGTAACTACAGTTGCAGCTAAGCTTTCTTCTGATCTAAAAGGGCCCACTTCTCTTCAGCACTTACATCCATTGCTCAAGCCAGATTATTCCAGTCTTGGGCATGTAATAACACAGTGTTAGTCTACATATCAAGAAGGTGGTATCTGGGGATACTGAGTATCTTCAAGAACTTGGGCAGAATTGGTGCAGCTCTAGAATCCACTGCCCTGGGCATCATCACTCTGTCAACTGAAAATGCCAAGTGTCTAAATCCAGCACACAAGCCCCAGTCCTTGCAGCAGGGCTCAGTGAGAGCACGCTCATACCAGCTGAGTATCTCCCGGGATCAGCTGCTGGGGAGGAACAAGACAGCAGAATAAACAGAGGCATTCCGCAAACAGCATCCTCGACACAGCTGACAATAGGGAAGATTCAACATCTTACTCCTGATACAAACCTGCCACCCAAGCTAGTCTTACCAATGCCTTTACTATCCTCAGTGATGGCTACTTTTACCTTAAGGAAAAAAAAAAAAAAACAAGCTGATATCAAGGGGGAATTCTGCAAGTTGAGAAACTATTTGCCAAAATGGTGGTCAACTATCTTCTTTCTGGAAATGGTAGACTTCCCAGGGGCTCCTGTGTTTCACGCGGCTAACCCTAGAGTTAGTGGACAAGTGTGCACAATCAGATGGAAGGGCTTAGAATCCACTTCCACTTGTGATATGGAGTGGTCTGGCCAAAGCAACTATTTCAACACTATCTTAGGCTACCTTTGGTTCAATATTAATTATGAGCTTTGAATAATTACCTCTGAGCTTCTAGGTATGCTAGGGCTTTTTAGGGGTGTGTGTATGCATGTGGATTTGCATGTGTGTGGTTGTTGAATTTGTCTTTAAATATCATAGTAAATTCCAAGTCACTTTGTCCTCCATATATTTGAAAAGTGAAACATTGATTCCACTTCTGGGGATATTCTCATTGATGCTGAAGGGGTTCAGAGTAAGTCTCCCAAAAAATATGCCACTTCGACATGTGAACTCTTTTGGACTAGAGGCAATCAAGATCCAGCAGTCTCAAGAGAAACTTTTCCCTTCCCTGAACTATGGAAGAAGTTAAATTAGGTGTCTCTCCCAGAATGAGAGTTTTTACCAGAGATAAATTTTATCTGAGTGGCCCTTCGTAGGGCAGGGCGCACATCTCATTGTGAAACACCTGCTCTTCTCTTTGCCTGTGGATTGGCCTCCTCTCCATTGACTCCTGGACTCCTATCCCATGTCTTAGCTCAGGATGGCATATTACCTTTCTGTCTTTGAACTCTCATATACATAGGGTTCCCCTATGTAATACAAAATTAAATTTGATTTTCTCCTGTTAATCTGTCTCAGGTCAATGTAGTTCTTAGACAAACCAGAAGAAATTTTGAAGAGTAGAAGAAAATTTTCTTTTCCCCAACAATACTTAAAAACAATTCAACATATCTTACCTCACCTTGACTCAACTCAACTACTTGCCAAATCAACACCTAATCAACAAACAATTGCACTGCGCAGGCAGAGACTTTTTTTTTTTTTTTTTTAACGTAATTATTCTCAGGACCTAGACTGCAACCTGGCTACTCAAAGTGTGGTCCGTGGACCAACAACATAAGCATCAAGGAACGGAAGTGCATAATCTTCAGGCCCACCCAGACCTACAGAACAAAAATCTGCAGTTGAACAAGAGCGTAGGTGATCTGTACTCACATTAAAATTTGAAAAGCCCTCACCTTAGAGTAGTGTTTCTCTCCTATGGGGGGTAAACTGATCACCTATGGGAGAATCACCTGGGATGCTCCCCTAAAAGCTAAGTTTGCCAACCTTACCACAGACTGAGTGAAATGGACTATCTGGGCTGGGGGCTCTCGACATTGCATTAAACAAGTTCCTGTTTTTTGGGTTCCTCTAACTCCAGCAATCTAAAGTTTGAGAAACCCCAGAGTAGTAGCATTTTAGAATATTGCATGTATTGTTAGTTTCATATATAGGATCTCTTCACCAAACTAGAGTCACTGAGCAAGACATACCTGCAATTTTAAACTAATCAAAGAGTACACTGACTACAGAAAGACACACACACATGCACGCGCACAGGACAGGCATTAGAAATAATTGCAAATGCAGAGAAACTGCCTTTAATATGAGGAGAAGAACTACCCAAGGAGGTTCTGTTGAGCATTTGTAATGAAATGCAGAATAACTGGTTGTGTTAGAGAGGAAAGGGATAAATTGTGAGTAATAACATCATTACACCTCTTATACTCTTGTGTATACATTACTTGTACTTCTTTGAAACAGTATTACAAATATATTTGATTCTAATAGGTTACTTTCAATACAGGGGGAGACATTTTTTGTATTTATCAGATGTGAAAAGAAAAACTCAAAGCATCAAAAATATAGTCTGCATTTATCCCTCTTCTAAATAGGGATGATCTCTATTTATAATTGCTGATAGTGAATTTCTTTTCAAATGCCAAGCTGAAAGGTGTCGCTCTGTCCGTGTGGTTCCATAAAGGAGCCAGTCTACTTTTGTATGTTTAGAAAATCCAGTTGGGTACAATTTTCACTTTTCCTCTGGAAGTTTGACATCAGAAAACATGACTCCTTTAATTCCATTTTCATAAGTTCCTGCAAGATCCAAATTACCCCCACAAACATCTGGACATTGTGACATATTTATCGTATTGCTCCCTACTTAGATGTAGGTAGAGTTTTAGAATTGCAAAATAATTTGCCTTAAAATATTAAATGTATCAAAAAGATTAATACACAGCACTTTGTTTTGGCTTAACACTCTCACAGAAAGCTAAGCCAGGAAAGGACACATTTTAACAGGAACAGGAAATTACATTTGAAAAGCAAGAACAATTTTCAACACCTTTGGAATCTTACTTCCAGAAAGGTCACATACCTCAGAGTATAGGATCCCCATGCTGGTCCTTCACAGATTTGCGTCACCCTTACCGCTTCTTGAATCTTCTGGAAGTATTTCTGATGAACATAAAATCCTTCCCAGCCAAGAGAAAAGTCCCTAGAAGCTGAGGCCGGTGGCACGTCCTTTCTTCCCACACCTGTGGAATGCTCTTCCAGTAACACAGGCAACAACACACCTTCTAGAGAACCCAGCCCAATGAAACATAGGCATTGGCTTACGGCGTAATGACCCAAGTGTGCCTCATTTAATATCACAACCCTGAGGAACCGGTTTCTGAGTCACATTTGCTCTGCGAGTAGTGACATGTGGAGAGAAGGGGGCAAAGTCAAGGGGAAAGGGAAGTTCTCAGCCTCTCAGGAAGGACTTAGGGTTCAAAATAGGGCATTGTATATAAGACATTTCCTAATTGAAATCTGGTATTCAGTGGCTATTGAGAAAGGCTAGGGTTGAGCAAACTCACTTGTTAGAACCATGGATATCTGCCACAGGCTTGACTTCCAGAAAAGATAATCCTCAAGGGGCCCCTGAGCAGCTCAGTCGGTTAAGTATCCGACTTTTGATTATGGCTCAGGGCATGATCTCAGGATCCTGAGATCGAGCCCACCGTCAGGCTCCACACTCAGCATGGAGTCTGCTCAAGATCCTCTCCCTCTGTCTCCCAACCCTGCTCAAAAAAAACAAAAAAAATGAGAAAAAAAAATAATCTTCAAAACTCTCACTATGGATTATTTGCTATCTTTAAGCCTGGACAAAGCTATTTGTTTTTCCTTGATGGTCCTGATTAATATAAAGAAATTAAAGCAATAAATTAAATAATAGATGAAGTTTTTAAGCTATATTATTTTATATACATAAATGTGTTCACTTTCAAGGGCATTTTGAATAAAGCTTGAGCAATTCAAATTGAAAGAAACGAAAATCTTTGAAGAATCAGTCCCACTTATATCCTAGTTAATTAAATTATCTTTAAACGTTTAAATTACACTTACAGTATCACTATATTTAATTTTCTTTAATAAGTACTTTAATTCCGAACCTAACAAGTAATACTTTTCCAGCTAAATGGTCTCATAAATCTAATAAACTTATTAACATAATAAATATTAAGTTGTCTTAAAAATTCTAATAGTGTTTATAAATTCAGCCAAATTATTTTATAATACTCAATTTTAACATTGTAAGTCTGAAATCAATTGTCCCATTACATATTTTAAAAGGAATCACCAGGCCACTTGGTCAAACATGGTTTTATGCAAAATCTCTTCAACGTTCTAAACATTTTATATATAAATATAATACCCACCATTCACACATTGTCTCTGAACACAATCATAGCAAAGTGTGGAAATTTTCCAGAATTAGAAAATCCACACACACACCCATGAAAGAACCAGTTTCAACCATCCCAAACAAATTGATGTGATTCTTCCAGTCACTGAAGGTTCTTCAGTGGCCAAGAATAAGGGGCCAGAATCCAAGACCTGAGCCTACATATATTCAGCGAACTTCTTCCTACTCCACTGATGGACATAATGAGCTATTTTTATAAGTTTTATAACAAAAATTATATACTTTACCTTAGATTTGGCTTTCGGACCAACCTCCTGGGAGTTTAAGAATTAACTAATTCTTTTGTTGAAGATGGAAGTCTGCAATAACCACTAAGTTGCAGCTGACTTTCCTTTTGGCTTGGTTTGATTTTGCGTTTCTTAGAACACTTAAGACACTTAAGTGTCTTTCCCTTTGACATAAACATTAATGTTTTTTCCACTGGGTACTTCACGCTCTTATGCAAGTCTTCTATAACCCCTTTCAGCTCCTTCTGTAACCTCTTTTAACTAATTGGTGTGGCCAGAACTCTTCACTCTCCCCACCTCTCTGCGAAGGTCGCTGCTAGCTTCCTTCTCTAAGCTCCTTTCTCCCTGACCTCGAGAGGATTCTTCAACTTCCTGTCAGGACCAAAACTCACCTAATCGGATTCTGCATCTCTCTCTTGACTTCATCTTGAAGGGTAGCAAAACACACCACCCTAAAATATGTCTCTTTGACATAAGGATTGTTTTGATGTGGTTGTTTTCAAAAACCTTCAGACACATAAGAGAATCTCTGAAAACAGAGTAGAAGTTTACTTTTTTGTAAAGGACATTTACATATATAAAAGAAATTTCCCATTTATAAAGGTGTCTCCCTCGGGAAGAGGAGGCTGACTCTAGATCTCCATTGGAGATTAATTCTTCAATTAATGGAGAAGGCAATGACTTAAATCTGCAGGACAATTGACGCTGTTTACTGTGCTTTTCCTGATAGCGGTCCCATAACTGCCCCTCCCCCAACTTCTTCAGTTCTCTCCAGCTGGAGATTATATTTAAGGTGTTGGTTTGGGTCATTTCAAGGGATTTTACTCAGTTTTCCTGGGCCTCCTGTGTGTACACATGAGGTACACACGTTATTAAACTTCGGTTTTTTTTCTCTTAATCTGTCTCTTGTGACGGGGGTTCTCAGCCACAGAACCTAGAGGGGTAGAGGAAAGATTCTTTTTCCTCCCCTACAATCTGATTCTAAAGACACAATACTCATTATAATTACGGAAGAGGAACTGTTTCAATGTGGGGTTGACTCTGAAAAACAACAATAAAAAAGCAATTGACTCATTGCAATTGGTAAAAACACTCCAGACCAGTGAGTCTCGAACAGCGATGATTTAGCCCCTAGGTAGGACTGCCAGATTAGCAAATAAAAATACAGGATGTTTAGTTAAATTTGAATTTTAGATAAATTTCTGAACTACCACATGGGGAATGCTTCTACTAAACAATTATGTTGTTTAACTGAAAATTAAAGGGGCGCCTGGGTGGTTCAGTAGGTTGAGCATCTGCCTTCAGCTCAGGTCATGATCCCAGGGTCCTGGGATGGAGCCCTGAGTCTGGCTCCCTGCTCAGCGGGGAGTCTGCTTCTCCCTGCCCCCCTGCTCTTGTGCTCTTGCTCTCTCTCTCTCCCTCTCAAATAAATAAATAAATAAATAAAATCTTCAAAAAAGTAAAATAAAACAATAAAGCCATCACTCTGACCATTGTGTGGAAACTGGATCTGAGGCAGGCATGAGAAAAAAAAGCAAGACCAGTTAAGAGGCTATTGCATGAGGTCAGCGGGGAGATAATTGTACGTAAGGCAGGAAAGCAACAGTGGGGACATAGAGAAGAGGAGGTAGGAGGTAGAAATAATGGGCTTTTTGTTGAAAATGCACTGTTAGGCTGTGTTGAAATAAACTTCTGTGTCCAAGATGGAGCCACACTTGCCCAGAATGCCACGTCAGCAAACCAAAACTGAGAGAACTTTCATGTTCCTATAAATGCTCCATTTGATCAGAAAGGCAGTATTTCCAGCCAGCCAATCCCCAACTGCCGAGAATCTGTGCTACTATTGTAGTTCTAAATAAAGTGAGATATGCAACCCTGGCCGATCAGCTTAAACCAAAGACATTAACCTTATTCCCCGATGGGCCTGCTAGCCAGGGGTGCCCCGTTTCCATATTGCTGCTTCGAATGCTCTATAAAACTTGCCTCTGCCCAACATCCCTTGAGAAGAGTGTCCCATTTGTGTGGCATTGTACTCCCCCAATCCAAAGGATATCAAACTAAATTGTTTTATTCTTGTCATTTGACAATGATTTTCTCCTGGCACCAAATACACGTCCCTATACATTGTTCTGTGATGCTCACATTAGCTCTCTGTAAATTACATTTCTCTTTTCCCCACTGGCCTCCTGTTAGATTTCCCCCATAGGGTGCACTCAAGGAAGACTGCAAGACTAAGGAGGCAGAAAGAAAGCTGCTCCTTCCTGTGTGTTTTCTGATCCCATCAGTCTAAGCCCAGGAATAGCCCTTCATCCTGGAAACAGCGATAGGTCTGGCTTTTTCCCTGCACTGCTTGGACCCCAGCCGAATCATGCCCTTCAGAGGTACCAATTCCAACGGCCTCCCTCCTCCAGCCCAACCAGGTGCAACTCCTCCCCTGAGCTCCTATAGCAGCAAGCAGACCGTGGTCCCTCCTCAATGCCTGGGTCCCAAGAATTTCAGGGTCCTTCCCCGTAGCTCCTACATTCTGGTAACCCCAACCTCTAGTCCTCGTTCCCCCATTCCAAGAGGTGGTAGCTGCTTCTGTAGTTCTGTCACCTCAATGCCCCCCCTTTGCCTTTTCAGCCCTGCAATACCCACTTAACTGATGTCTTATATTAAATTCTTTCAGTTAAAATAACTAGTGTGGTTGGGGCGCCTGGGTGGCGCAGTTGGTTAAGCATCCAACCCTTGATTTCAGCTCAGGTCATGATCTCAGGGTTGTGAGATCAAGCCCTGCCTCTGGCTCTGTGCTGGACATGGAGCCTGCTTAAGATTCTCTCTCTCCCTCTCCTTCTGGCCCTCCCCCAAACTCACCCTGGCTCGCTCGCTCTCTCCCCAAATAAATAAATAAACAGACAAACAAATACAAATGCAAATGAAAAATAAAAAAATAAGTTGTACGGTTTTCCTTACTGGGCTCTGGCTGATATAGTACCCTGGAGATGTGTAGAAGCTACAGATAGCCAGAATTCTCAATCCGATATAAGCAACATGCAGAATCACAGATCAAGGAAGGCATGCATGTTTCCAGCTTGGTGCCTTTCACCCAAGTGCAAAACACCAGAAAGGAAACAAGATTAGGGAAGGGCTGGGGAGACACGATCTGTCCCAGTTTGCAGGAGTGGTGTCTGAGAGACATCCAATATCCAATGGGAAGTTTGTCATCCGGTCCCAGAATTTTACAATGAGAGCTGTTCTAGAGACAAAGATTTGGAGAGTGATCAGCAAATAGACCAGTAGTTCCCAAAGTAAGAAATGAGAGAGTTTAGATACCTTACTAAAGTCTTTCCCCCCCACCACCACACAACCTGTATAAATTCTTTGACTGTATAGGGTTTTTTCTTCTTTAAATAACATAACAACTTTTTCTTTTCATTTTAGCACCTTTAAATGGGAACAATGGCTATCCAAGCAAATAAGTACTTTTGCTAATCAGAATGTTTGTGTTTCTGAGTTTTAATCATTGGAGCCCTGTCATCTCTTTCTGCAATTCTCTTGCTTGTGAAAGCTTATTAGATCATTTGTTCGCTTAAAATAAAGTCCAGGATTCTGAGGCCAAATTGCAATAATTGTTGTTTTGTACTAAGATAGGGTCTTTACTCCAAGACTTAAAAAATCTTGTCAAATTTGAAATCACTTCTGAATTTTCCAGAAAGAAATTTATGGTAATGGAAAAGGAAATGGGGTCAGCCATCCCTTAAAATAAAGAAAAAAAAATACATTGGCATTTTAAGTTTAAATTTAAAGTAGGTCACTTAATTGTTTAGCACTTACGCAACACTTAATTCCACGGTGGGTTTTATTTCTGTGTCATCCTCCATCAGTACTCACAGAATTAGTTATTACCATGTGCTTTAATGGAAACACGAAGAGTAAATATCATGCTCTTGATCCCACAGCCATTGGAATGCTGT